TTAGGCTAAACTACAAAATCAAAATGATTTTTATGAAGGAAATTACTATCCTGCTTACAGTCTTTCCGCACATAACAAATGAGAAATTATGTCCATACTACTGTTCTCCAACAATCACTAAAAGACAACACTGAAGAAACAAACGGGAAAAGTAGTGAAGTGGTTTAAAAATTGTTCTTTCTTTTTTTTTTTTTCATTTTTCTTTTATTATTCATATGTGCATACAAGGCTTGGTTCATTTCTCCCCCCTGCCCCCACCCCCTCCTTACCCACCCACCCTGCCCCCTCCTCTCCCACCACCCCCTTAATACCCGGCAGCAAACTATTTTGCCCTTATCTTAATTTTGCTTGAAGAGAGTATAAGCAATAATAGGAAGGAACAAGGGGTTTTGCTGGTTGAGATAAGGATAGCTATACAGGGCATTGACTCACATTGATTCCTTGACGCGTGCGGTTGTTACCTTCTAGGTAATTCTTTTTCATCTAACCTTTTCTCTAGTACCTGTTCCCTTTCTATTGGCCTCAGTTGTTTAAGGTATCTGCTTTGTCTTCTCTGCATTAAGGGCAATAAAGCTAGCTAGTCTTTTTTAGGTGTCTTCCCTATCCTCACCCTCCTTGTGTGCTCTCGTTTATCATGTGCTCATAGTCCAATCCCCTCTGTTGTGTTTGCCCTATGATCTAATGTCCACAATATGAGGGAGAACATACGATTTTGGCTTTTGGGGCCAGGCTAACCTCACTCAGAATGATGTTCTCCAATTCCATTCCCCATTTACCAGCAAATGATAACATTTCGTTCTTCTTCCATGGCTGCATAAAATTTCCATTGTGTATAGATACCACATTTTCTTAGATCCATTCGTCGAGTGGTGGGGCATCTTGCTGTTTCCATAACTTGGCTATTGTGAATAGTGCCCGCAATAAACATGGATGGTGCAGGGTGCCTTAGAGACAGTAACAGTCTTTTGGGTATATCCCCAAGAGCGGTATTGCTGGATCAAATGGTAGATCGATGCCCAGCTTGTTTAAGTAGCCTCCAAATATTTTTCCAGAGTGGTTGTACTAGTCACATTCCCATCAACAGTGTAAGAGGGTTCCTTTTTCCCCGATCCTCGCCAAACACCTGTTGTTCGTGGTGTTGCTGATGAGGCTATTCTAACAGGGTGAGGTGGAATCTTAGCATGGTTTTAATTTGCATTTCCTTTATTGCTAGATGGAAGTGGAGCATTTTTTCATGTAGTTTCTTGCGCCATGTTGAATTCTTCTTCTGAGAAAGTACTGTTTTAGTTCACGTGCCCATTTCTTTATTGTTCATTAGTTTGGAGAACTTTAGTTTTTTAAGTTCCCTGTATATTCTGGTTATCAGTCCTTTGGCTGATGTATTAGTTGGCAAATATTTTCTCCCACTCTTGGGTGTCTCTTTAGTTTAGAGACCATTTCTTTTGATGAACAGAAGCTTTTAGTTTTATGAGGTCCATTTATCTATACTATCTCTTAGTTGCTGTGCTGCTGGGGTTTCATTGAGAAGTTTACCTATACCTACTAACTCCAGAGTATTTCCTACTCTTTCTTGTATCAGCTTAAGAGTTTGTGGTCTGATATTAAGATCCTTGATCCATTTGAGTCCTAATCTTGGTATAGGTGATATACATGGGATCTAGTTTCAGTTTTTGCAGACTGCTAACCAGTTATTCCCAGCAGTTTTTGTTGAAGAGGCTGCTATTCTCTCATCGTATATTTTTAGCTCCTTTGTCAAAGACAAGTTGGTTATAGTTGTGTGGCTTCATTATCTGGGTCCTCTTTCGTTCCACTGGTCTTCATGTCTTTTTTGCCAAGTACCATGCTGTTTTATCGTTATTGCCTTTGTAATATAGTTTGAAGTCAGGTATTGTGATACTCCTGCATTTATCTTTTGACTGAGTATTGCCTTGGCTATCGTTGGCCTCTGTGTTTCCATATAAATTTAACAGTAGATTTTTCAATCTCTTTAATGAATGTCATTTAACCAAAGCCATATGTTTTTCTCTCATGTGTGGAATACAGGCCAAATACAAAATACAAGCAATACTATTTATATTCATAGAATATACTATACAAAGCATGTATCCAAAAGTGGAACTGGTAGAGAAGACCACGGATGAGGAAAAAAGAAGGAAAGAAATGTGCCAGGAAGGGAGATGAGAGACAATGAGGAGATAATGAGTACAGAGTGAAACAACAACAAAAGCAGATCTGAGAAATGTCACCGTAGCACCAGGGGTGAGACCAGAGAAGGTAACCTTGCCCCAGAGGTTAAAATGGCCAATGAAACAGTATGTGACCATGTATGGGACAAGCTGTACTGTACCCCCTCATTTCTGTACCTTCTCTAAATGGTATATAAGGAAAGCTCCTTCTGTTCTTGGGGCTCAGCTTGGATGCAAATCTGCTGAGTTGCTGCCAGCTTGCATAATAAACTTGCTTCCTGACAAGCTTTGTGCCCTGTGTCTCTGTCTGAGTTCCTACAACAATCTGGGGGTTCGGACCAGGATTCAGAAGGCAGTTTTTCACCTCCTTGTTGCTGGCTCAGAGTCCCCAGTCTGCTGGGAAGGCCACCCCTGTCAGGTGTCACCAGATGTGTGATCTGAGGGACGGGGAGCCTCTCTCCCAGCGAACCAAGAAGGCAAGTTTCAGTCACACAAAGGTGCCTGGAAAGGCTCAGGAACCAACTTGGAGCGCTCCCCCCCACCATCAGACTGGTAAGAACCTGCGTTCGAATTTAGACCTGCCAGAGGAGGCAGACAGGAGTCTGATCAACTCTCAGCAGTGACATCCGAGTAACCCCCTTTTGGGTGAAAACCATGTCTCTCAGGTTCAGGAGCAGGTGGAAGTACTGTGCTGTGTGAGAGTGTGTGAAAATGAGACCCTGAGATACAGCCCAGCTATGAAGCAAGTGCAGAGTCCCAATACACAAGTCTGTGGTGAAACTCATATGGTCTAGGGTGAGCCCTAACAGGGTCTCCAGTCCAGGATTTATACAGACCTCACTGTGGCTAAGAAAGACCTAAATCCCTGTGAGGGGAGCAGCCCAAGAGACGGTATTGAAGTGAGTGGTGTTATTTGTTTTCCCCTGTGTGCCTGAAAGGAGGACCCCTTACCTCCTCTCCATAACCCTCATCCCTTCCATTTCTGTCTCTGTCTGGATGTCTGGCAAAAGGAAGAATGGGAGGAGATCACAGTAAGAACACCACCCTGGAGTGCATACTTAATAACTTTAAAAAGGGATTTAATGGAAATTACAGAGTCAAGGTGGACTCTTGACAAGCTTAGGACCTTCCATGAAACAGACTGGCCTGCTTCTGTGTAGGATGCTCTCAGAGGGTCATTAGATAAGGTCATAGTCAACAGGTTTTTGAAGTGGTCGTAGGGAGCCTAGACACCCAGATCAGTTTCATTATTGACAGCTGTCAGGATGCAGTCCTCAGTTGGCCCACATGGCTAAGCCCCACCTAGAGGAACCACCATAGGTCATGGTAAGCCAGGTGCGACAGCTTCCAAATGCAAGGAAAAATGTAAAAAGCCGAAGAAAACCCACATTAGCAGGGGACCCAGAGGAGACCCTGCCCCCTTATGTGTCACTGTACCTACCTTTGCCACTGCCTTCTGCCCCTTTACCTCTACTCTTGGAAGGGGAAGCATCAGACAGGGAAGCCTAGCAACAATTATGTCTACAAGGCTGGGCCCAGGAGTTCTTGAAACTGCAACAACCCCACCTTCCTCAGTCCTCATGAACCTCATATTCACTCCAAGCTCCCCAGTCCTCATTCCACACTCCCTGTGAGATTGACCCCTACATTCAACCAGGAACATTTAAACAGTCTTAATATGGGCCTAGTCTCCCTCCCCCTGGGACCCATTGCCCTGCAGATGCCCGAGAGAGGTCCAGCGCTCAATATATTATGACCAGCATGGTCAGATACAAGAAGGAAGATAGACATTTGTCTACCAGCCCTTTACCACCATAGAACTCTTAAATTGGAAGCACCATAACCCCTCCTTCATGGAAAAGCCTGAGGCTCTAATTGATCTAATGGAGTCCATAATCCAAACTCACAAGCCCACATGGACAGACTGCCAACAGCTTCTTCTGACTCTATTTAATACTGAGAAGTGATGCAGTATAATCTGGCAGCTCCAAAGTGGCTGGAAGATCATGCTCCTGGAGACACTCTAAATGCCCAAGCCTATGCTCAGGGCCAGTTCCCCAAGGAGGACCCCTGTTGGGACCCCAATGATAACCTAGATTACCAGCGGCTTGAACGGTGTCAGGAGCACTATTAGGAGGTGTGAAGGACAGAGGGGAAAAAGCCATGAACATGAATCAAACAACAGAAGTCCTCTGAGGGCCAGATGAGAGCCCCAAACAGTTTATGAGAGGCTATGTGAGTCCTTCCACCTATATATCCTTTTGACCCAGAGGCAGCCAAAAACCAGGGGATGATTAATGCAACATTTGTCAGTCAGGCACAGGGGGACAGAGGTGAAAATTACAAAAGCTTGAGGGGTTTGCTGGTATGAACACCAGCCAGTTTCTGAAAGTGGCCACAAAAGTCTTTATCAATAGAGATCAGGAGGCTGAACGGGAGGCCGATAGAAAGAAGAAAAGGAAGGTGGACCTCCTTGCTGAGGCTCTAGCAGAACAGTCAGGCAGGCCCCGGCATGCAGGCCATGACAGAGGGAGAGGCAATCCCTATGGAGAGCAGTCAGTGCCCCTGGAATGGCGTCACCCTTGAGAGGAACTAAGGTGAGACCAGTGTGCCTACTGTCATCAGGAAGGACATTGGAAAAATGAAGACCCCCCCCGCAGACCAGAGGCAGAGGCTGAGTTGTTGAAGGAAAGTATCAGCTTGCTCAGGGGAGAAGGGGCTCCTGGGAGGAAGACATTGTCAGGCTAGCCTCTTTTGAGGATTATGAGGAGGACTAGGATGAACTGGGCTCCATTCTTCTGGGCCCCCAGGAGCCTATGGTCCAAATGAAGATAGGGGGCCATCCCACTGACTTACTGATGGACTCTGATGTGACCCATTCAGTTGTAACCCAACCTGTGGGCCCTCTCTCACAGACATGGGACCACTGTCAGGGCCACAGAAGACCAGACTTGACGCCCCTTCCTTGTATCCAGAAAATGCAATCTTGGAAAGCATGAAGTAAGGCATGAGTTCCTCTACCATCTTGATTGCCTTGTGATCCTGATGGGCAGAGACTTGTTGTGCAAACTAAGGGCACAGATAACTTTTCACTCTGACAGCAAGGCAGCCTTAAAGCCAAGAGGGCCTGAGGCCAAGATGAGACATCAGCCCTGCTCTAGTCACTCTGGAAGCTGACTAGTCTACAGTGGAAGCTTGAGGAGTTGCCCATCTCATTTTTGAGGATGAGTCCCTTCCATGTTTTCTTCTTGCTAATCTTGGTCAGCTCTCTACCTGGGGGCCCCAGGCCTTGGACTGTGACTCATGTATGCATACTACCCAAGCAGGAGTTACCAAAACTCTGGTTTTCCATACTTATTATTCTTGTGCAGGGACAAGTGCTGGGTCATGCAACCACAACCATACCCCTACTCAGTGTGCTCTCATCATGGTCAATATATCTATTTTAACCCCAACTATCACTCTCAGGAGTAATGGCTAGAGGTCTGAAGCTTCACCAGCACTGGGGGCCTTATTAGCCAGACACAGGTTTACAATCCCAAAAGGCCAATATCTATACACCTTGATTTGTGCACCATAATAGCTAAAACCTCCATCTACTGACCTCAGGGTATTGGAAAACACCTGCAGAGGTCTAGCCTGGGAGAAAACTTATATGTTTATGTCTAGCCTGGGAAGACAGCTGCTCATGTAATGACGCTGTGTAAATATAAACCCCTAAGATCAAGATGATGGTCGTTGACCCAGAACCAGATCTAAGCATCAAGGCAGGGAATGTGGCAGAAAGGGAGGAGGGGTGGAGGGGAAAGGAGAAAATGAGAGACAATGAAGGAGACAATGAGAGATAATGAGTGCAACAGTGAAACAAACAAACAAACAAAATGGATTTGAGGAATGTCACATAGCACCTGGGGCAAGACCAAAGAAAGGTCACCTCACCCCAGAGGTTAAAATGGCCAATGAAATAGTATGTGACCATGTATGGGACAAACTGTACCCCCCATTTCTGTAACCTGCTCTAAATGGTATAGAAGGAAAGCCCCCTTTGTTCTTGGGGCTCAGCCTTTGGATGTGAATCCACTAAATTGCTGCCGGCCTGCTTAATAAACTTGCTTCTTGAAAGCTTTGGTGCCCCATCTCTCTGTCTGAGCCTTCCTACAACAGAAAGATGAAATATACATTTGTGTAGGAACAAGACACAAGGACACATGCTGAAAACTGCTAAACAGCACAGGATAAGAGGAAAAGAGCAAGGAAGTACAGTGGGTTACATTGATAAGCACAATGCATATACAGGCAAAAATCCCACTGACTAATGAGCAGACACCTAAAAAATGAAGGACAAGAATGAAAAACAGGTCACACTAAGGGGAGGACACTAATGGGAGGGAGAGAGTAAAAGAAGGAGGTAAAGAAGGTGAATATGGGTGATGTCCTTATTTATTTACTTATTTTTGTGATACTGGGGTTTGAACTCAGGGCCTACACCTTCAGTCACTCCACCATCCCTTTTTTTTATGGTGGGTTTTTTTGAGATAGGGTCTCGCCAACTATTTGCCTGGGCTGGCTCTGAACCATAATCCTCCTGATCCCTGTCTATTGAGTAGCTAGGATTACAAGCATGAGCCACCAGCTCCCAGCTTGGGTGATATGTGCCCTATATAAGAATAAATATAGAATTTTTAAACCTGTTGAACTCACCATAAGAAAAAAGACTATGGTAAAAAAGGGAAAAATGGAGGGGATGAACCAATTCAGGATATAATACATGTATACATGGGAGTCATAATGAAACTCTCTGTATAGATATCTTAAACAAAAACATCTTTTTTTCAAAAACAGAGAACAGGATGGTAAATCGGGTCCTGTCTGGGGGTTGGCACCAGTGGGAGGGGGGGAAGATATAAGGAAAGGGTGTAGGAAGGTGAATATGATGGAAATATTATATACCCATATATGAAAATGGAAAAATGAAACCTGAGGGGAGATAAAAGCAGAATAAAAGATAATAATAATAAATAATTGTTCTTTCTTACCAATATGTTGCTGTAGAACCCAAGAAGAGTTTGAGGCACGAGCAGAGAGCATCTTTTCAACAACTGGCGGAAGCCTCTTCCAATTAGTAAACTCCAAAGTGAAGATGAGGGTATCATCACTGACTGAGTCAATCCTATATTAGCAATATGTGAACATGCCATCAGACATAAAACATACCTAGGGTTCATGTTGGAAACAAATAGCACAAAACTATTCTTATACATCTTACTTAGGAAAGCGGACAAAAAAATGGGGCACAGAAAGAATTTGTGTAACTGAAGACAAGTTCAGTAGACACAAATAGTCATCTGCAGGTTCTACCTGGAACCTGTGTGGTTATATGTAGTTGTCCATGAGGTAACAAGAGGTATCTCTACTCCCATAAAAAGCAGGAACAGCCCTTCCTATTGGAGAAAGCACCAATATCAACAATGGACTTGCCATTGCCATTATCTCCTCCCAATTGGGTCATCCTTACAGGCACAAACTGAAAAGGATGAAGTCCAAACACACAAGTTATTGCTAAACTGAGTATACATGAGAGATAACTCTTTTTTTCTGCCCAAAAAATGAAAATGTTGAGCTGTTCGCTCATTATATATTCAGTTTTAAGGATGTAACAGAATAAGATTCCTCTGTAAGGACTGAAATAGGGTCTTTACAATAAGATATTATTATATTAAAATAATATAATATAGTAAGCATATTTTTGAAACTATAAAGTGTTATATAAATATTTGATATTACTAGAACTGATATGAAAACTTCAGCATTACATTTTCAGAAAGTCTCATAGTATTATACACATGAAATTTAGTCAAAGCTTAAAGAGAACTCTAATCCTAACAAGATAATCCATCCAAGCTCAATTAGATACCTCTATCATTACATTCTTGGAAGAAAAATAAAATGATTAGGACCTTTGATAATAACTGCAAAAGTTGAAATTTTTCTCAAGGTCTTTTTTTTTTGGAGACATTACTAAGCAACACTGAAGAGGAAGAAGAAAGAAGCTAAGTAGTACTCTAAACTTGTCTCAAACACAATTTATTTTTGGTATTTCAGGGTCAAAGTATCCTTGAAATGACTGATTAGAGAGTATGAAAACCATTGTCCAAATTCTTAATTCTCTGATATGTATACATACAAGAAAGAACTTAAAATGCAGAACAAATGCCTTGAGAAAACATTTTTCTTCTTAGTCAGTTCTCAGTGAAATCAACACTTATCAGGAAATACTGGGAATAAATGATAAAAGATAAAATACATTCAAAGGCAAACAATCTCCTTGGCATCTATAAGTAGCATATTAAAGGTTATTTGGTTCTGCTTTCTTATTTCTTTTTTAATGGCTTCATTTTTCTGCCTTAATATGCTTTAGGTCTCACTGTGACCCATCACAGTCATTTTTATGCAGTTATCTGAACACACACCTGAGATGTAAATCTGTTTGCACAGCTTTAGTTAATATATTGGTGAGCTTATTTTACCAACACTGATAATGCCATTAAAACATATCATTATTGTACTACATTGACCATTACATTGTACAGAGCAGCTGTACACTCATAAACGAGTGACAGTTAATCAACAAAATGCACAGATGACATTTGCTTTCTATTATTCTCCCATTACACTCCTGCAAGACTTAGTCTTGCATTTAGAGTTGAAAAATATTTCAGCTTTGTAGATTATATTGTGACAGGCAATTATTCAGCCAGATACATGTTTAAGACTGTTTAAGACAAGAAATACCTAAGAAAGACATTAATAATTTACATGACAAAGACTAAGCAATAGACTTACATCTGATATAAACAAGAAACAACCCAAATCTACTTTAACATATTGGAATTTTTATGGGACAATTTTTCCTATAACAGCTTTTTGAATGTAAATTTGATCAAAGCAAAACATTTACCATATTCAGTGTAAACACTGGCTTTATCCACTAAATAAGAGACTAGTGAACAAAAATTTGACCATGTTAAATTTCTAAAGTGAAATTTTCCATTGTACTTTTTCTAATGAATATAAAGTGACTAAAGTTATTCCTTGGTAGTAAAATACATGAAATTAGCATTCTAAATTCAGAATGCTAAAAGTTATGGACTGATGGAATGGCTCAAGCAATAAAAGCAACTGCCTAGCAAGTGAGAGGCACTGAGTTCAAACCCCAGTGCCACCACAAAAAAAAAAAAAAAACAACAGAATGCTGACAGTTTTACAACTTACTTTAAAATATTTGGTTCTTAACTCTTTCCTATTCCAACATATCCAACAAATACAGCATACACACAGTGGCTTACTACCATAAATACTCAAATACTCACAGATGGTGGGGGAGGTTGTATCTGAACTTGGAAAAGAAGTGTATATTTTACAAAGCAATCTAAGAGAATAAAGCTAAGGAACTCATTCTCTCTACTAATAGTCTACTTAGTTGACTGATGGGGAAAGAAAAAGAGGCAATGTAATTCTTTTTCTTTGTTTAGGAGCAATAAGGAACAAGAAAAGTTGACACAAATATCCCCAGTTTGGCAAAGGATTGAAGTACTTGAAATTAAGTGACACAACTAGCTCATCCCTGTGGATACACAAGGCTAAGGCAGCATAGCACATGGGTTAAGAACACAGACTTGAGACACACTACAGGATGGCCTGGGGTCAAATCCAAACTATAGCACTAATTCTCTGTATAAGCTTGGGCAAATACATTGAATATTCTGTCTCCATTTCCTTCTCTATCAAATAAACATAATAGTAAATGAGCTAATATCAGTAAAGAACTTAAAATAGTGCCTATTTGGTGTCAGGCAGGATTCTAAATCCTTATTTAAAAAAATAAATAAATTAGAAACCAAAAGGAGTGTGAAGGTTGAAAGTATAGGACAAGTCATATAAAGTCAGTTTATGGTTTCAGTACAAGAAAACAAGGAGTGTGGCTGAGAAGAAAGTGGATGCCTTGGGGACAGTCACCATGTATGATAAAAGATGGGGTAAAAGAGACTGGCACTGTCCACAGCCACCATGTGTTAGGGTGGAGTTATAGCCCAGTCTGCAGCAAATCTTAGAATGGTGAGGGGCATCTGCTGCTGACCATAAACTAGACCCAATCTTGAAATTCAGTAAGTAAAAGTTAAAAGTACTTAAATAACCATGTTAAGACTAGATATAACATTTATTATCAAGTGTTTGATATCTCACTATGTATAGGTATGTGTGTATGGGAGGGCAGCTTGTTATATAAATGTGTGCAAATGATTTTTAAAAATCAGAGATGCCTCAGTAGTAGATTGTCAGTAATCTTTATATTTCATTCATTATCTAAAAAAATGAGTTTTGCAAACTTAATAGAAAAGGTGTAGAAGGAATGGCAAGTGTAAGCATTTAAAAGACAACTATGCACTTATTAATCAGTAATTAGGAAAAGAATAAATACAATTAGAGACTCAACCTGCTATAAAGTATAAACAGAAGCAAGATGGAATAGAATATTTATTTTTGCTTTTACTTTGATACTCCCCAAACCACCTATCAGAAGCAGTATTTCAATATAAACAACATTCCAAAAGATAGTATTAGAAAGATGGTCCTAAGCATAAAGTCTTTGTTTAGTGAAAGTTTCTGTATTCTATAAATGGCAGACACAATGAAAAGGTGAGATACTGGAATACCACCAAACAAAACATCTGCTCTTCACATAATGGAGAAGCCATCAGGTAGAAGGTGGAGGTGACAGAAATGCAAACTAAACGCTCTGAGGAGGGACTACTGGTTATGCTATGATGGTTAATCTTGTCAAGATTGGGATTGGACTGAGAAACTCCTTAGGAGATTAGCAAACTACACGTCTAGTTGTGTCTGTGATGCTATTTCCAGAGATTAAATCTTGTGAGCTCTGACCTAATCAATGGACTAATCCCTGATGGAATAAAGATGTGATGGCATTATGGGGAAGTGGTAAAAGACAGGAGGTGGGCCTAGTTGGAGGAAGTAGGTCACTGGGGGGCAGTCCTTAGAAGCTGTATCTTGCCCTGGCTCTTTCCTTATATTCTCTTTTCCTTACCTTCCTGTTGGCCATGATGTGAGCTGCTCTGTTCTACTTTCTAGCTGCCATGAGATGAACAGCTCTCCTCTGCCACAGGTTCCTACAACCAAGATGTACTGCCCAAGTGTTTGGGCCAAGCAACAATGAACTGAGCCAAAATAAATCTCACTCTTTTCCACTGTGTGTTATCAGGCATTTTGTTACAATGACACAAAGTCTAATTAATATACATGTCTAAACCCCAAACAAGGGATCTTTGGAGAAGAAACATTCAAATGGCAGAAAGGCAAAATGTCAGTATTTATCTAAACTCTATTGTAGTGAATGGTATTTTTTGAAGCACAAAAATGAAAACTAGTAGATGTTTTACTGAAATGTTATAAAGTAACATGTCCTCCATTTTCACTGAAATTTTCGTTCTATTTTCTCATTTGGCTTGTATTATTAGGTCAGGAGTCCTCCTGCTACTACAATTACCTGTGTCTATACACTAATAATTTTTACAAAGTTGGAGGCTGATGGAAACAGTTTTCCTCCTCTTACCCAAGAAAAATTCTAACTCGACATTCACATAATCTCTTGGCAAGCACTGCCCTTCTGAGGAACTACCTGAAGTAAGCAAGTTATATCCTCAGATGTTTTAGAAACCATTATTTGTTAAGGGAGACAAATTTCAAAAAGGTGAATGCTACAGGGCAGGGGAGTTCAATCGAGTCTGGTGAGGGCTAACTGCAATCTCCAAACCACCTACAGGCATTCTTCTATCACAGGCACTTAAGAGGGGAATAAGGGAGCATGCTTGCAATCCCAGCAGTCAAAGGCTGGAGGCAAGAAGACTGCAAGTTCAGTGAGCTCGAGGGCAGTTTTGGCTACATGGAAGATCCTATCTCACAAAAAAAAAAAAAGAAAAATAATCTTATCAGAAGAGCTCAGTGGCATCTATCCCCTTAGACCCTTACCCAGTCACCTTTCCTAGAACTCTGTGCTTAAAGTCAACTTCACTGTTCACAGCCCCCAACTGCTTCACGACAATGTAGCCATAACAGTACACACACACACACACACACACACCCTACCTCCTCCCAGCACAGAGATATCAAGAAATTGGGAAATTAAAGGAAGTATAGTCACTCAAAAAGAGTAGCACCTACTACAATAGGATTTCTTACCAAGAAGTGTATAGTAGAGTCAATGGGTTAAATCCAGCAAGCAGGAGATGTGGTAACCATTCCTTATATTTTGTTTGTGCTTTAATTGCTTGATTTATAAATTCAGATATATGGCTCCAGAGTACCAACCGGCAACCTTTCTTCAAAAAGTAGCGAAATACTGAAAACTTCTCATACTTCAAGCAGTATGCCAAATGAAGTTCATTTAGCTGGGCTCCGTATTTCAAAAGAATATTCACAATTCCAAAGAACTCACAGCTCCACCACAAAAAATGAAAAACACAGTTAGACTTTTATATTATGAATAATTTTTACAAACTGCTAATAATAGTTCCCACTGGGAAATAAGAATGGCACGCTCATGTGTGTTTCTGAACTACAGTCATGTGAGACCAACTGCTTCTGAGGACTTATCTATAAAACGTGAAATCAAGGTCATGAGGAGTTGAGACGCTATGTACGTAAGTAAAATGTCTTCATTCCGTGTATATCTTTATAAATCTATTTCATTTATTCTCCAATTTTCAGTTCTTCAGTTAAAAGTTCAGATAGTATTCTCTTTACTATTAATCATTTGTATAGTAATTAGAAAAGAAAAATCTATAATGGCACGATTTCTTTTAAAAGTTAGTAATTTTGTTGCTCCTATGCTACTGGCTATTTGCTCCTGATGAGAAGTCTACCATAATTCACGTAATTGTTCTTGAAAACAACCCTGTAATATATGTAATATTCCCTCTGGCTGCTTTGAGATACACTGAGAATTTGTTGCTAGCAGTCTTCTACTACTGGAAACCCAAAAGGATATCCTCTGACCAATGGTTCTAGATAATTATCACCAATTTGTCTCAACCACTTTGACCTCACTTAAATATGCTCTCATTATTTAGCCTACAGTTACTACTTGCAGATTCCACTTATAGAAGAGAAAAACTACACGTGGATTGTTGAACATGTTCCAGTAAGTATGAAGGGCAACTGTGGGAAAAGCTCAAGATAAATATGATACAGCTCATTTTAAATATGATACAGTTCTCAAGAAGCCTGACAATTTTCCAGGCATGTGTGTTTACGTGTGCAATTAAGGGACAGGTGAACTCTTTCCTCAAGCATTTGAAGCCACCAGTATCCTAACAATAGGTACTTAGGTCCCAAAGATTCAGTCCAGAGGACCATGCTTTTGCTACAAAATACATGTGAGCATTACTGATATCTCTTAAAAGCATTAGAGTAAATGCTATAGGTAGGTACCTTAGCCATTTTCTGTTTAGAAAAAGAAAACCAAGAGGCTTTAATTAAAATTATAATATAGCATCTATAACATGTGGCTCATGCTAAGAAAAATTTAAGGGCAAGGCCAAAAGATAAACCATCCATCTCTAAAGTATGAGAGTGTGCTGGCAGAGTGTCTTAAGTGGTAAAGCCCCAAGTATAAACCCCAGTGCTGCAAATAAATAAATAAAAATAAAGTACGAAAAGAACATAGGCATATGTAATTCCTTATAATGACAAACTTTACTGGCTACTGATTCTGTATTAGGCACTACGTTAAATGTGTTACATCTAAGATTTGCCTTAATCCTCACACTAACCCTAAGAAGTAAGTTTATTGTCTCCATTCTACATAGAAAAACTGAAGCTCAGTCACAAAACCAATAATAGAATTAGGCTAATAGTATCAAACCAAATCAAAAGATGAATATAACAAGACAAATTTCTAAAATCTCTCTCCTGTAACTATTATGAAAACTGACCATTTAATGAAACAGTCAAATTGAGGAATATTTTATGTTTTATATTATGTTTCTCAAAGTATGTTGCATGGAATGTCAGTCCCCAAAAATGACCCATATGAAAAAGCTCTTAAATGAAAAAAACTGGAGAATTCTTATATAGTACATAGTGAGCCTGGAAAAGAAAGAAATACAGGATGGACTTATTTTTAAGCAGGATGTTAGTTACAATTTCAAGTTATATGTTCAATGTTCTTCAACTTCCAGGTATTTTTCAGAAGAAATACCTTTAAAATTAAAACAACAGACCCAATCATTAATCTGAACAAAGTATAATAGAGTACAAAATGCTTTAAAACTATAAACAAAGGAGCAATGGTATGTCAATTGAAAATGTAAGTTTATTCTAGGCTTCCAGACTTTTCAAAACTATGTAGATCCATTCTTCTTTAAAGAATTTCACAAAGCAACTGCCACAGGAAAATTTTCAAAAACTCTCCAGAAAAGAAGCTATTTAATACTGCTTAACTCTGTGTTTCTCATACTTATTTAACTATAGAATTGCTTTTATCCAGTGTAATATCTGTTAGCAATCTGCAGAATTAGTGTTCTATCATTCATCCTTTGGAAACCAGTGCTAAACTTCCTCTGACTACTGTATTCACAGTGCCTTGTGTTAGAAGGGGAAAGTCCATACTCCCAGAAGGCTTATGAAACTGGCTAGTGTTACAATATAAACAGTTTTCCAATGAAACTACTATTTATAAGGAGAATAAGTGTGAAGCAAACTGGAGAATCATAAACTTTGTCAGCATTCCTTGAGCTTCACAGGGAGGTTATCAAGAAGATCTCAGCTTAAGGTGTGGTTCAAGCCATAGAGCACCTGCCTAGGAAGCACGTACCCGACTTCTAACCCCAGTACTACCCAAAAGAAGGAGAAGGAGAAGACAAAGAGGAAGAATACCTGAAATATGTGGGAATGTTCCAGAAATGCAAGCAGCTCTAGTGTTCTATATTACCTTGATTGTTACATGTCACCAACCATACAGTACGGTTTAGATAATCTTTGGTTAAAATATAAATTATATGGAAATATCTGTGCATTTTTCTTAACACTTCAAATTTTCTCTCAAGCCCTGATATCATATTGGGAAAACTTCTCAGATCCTAGAGGACAAAAAAAATCTGTCCTGTTTTGTAACACAAACATCAAGAATTAATTGTGACACAAAAAGAGACAGCATATTACACAAAGAGTGAACATAATCTGGTTCTGCAAAAGGAGAGTGATTTAAAAACTAAAAAGCAATCTAGACCTTATATGAGGGCTTATATATTACCACAACTATTCTCTTTATAGTTCAAAACTGGGCAGAAAAATAGTGCCCAAATAAAAGTCTGGTACCCAATCCTAACCTCCAAGAAGAAACACTTATTCTGTACTTACTGAGGACCAGGAACCATAGTTGGGATCTTACTTCTTTTCAAGAGCTTCATTTAAAGAAAAACATCAGTGTGAAAACAAGATTTACCTTAAACAAATAGAAATGGGCATCTTATGTCCGATCTTGAGCATCTTATGTCTGACTAGCCAATGAAATGTCTAACCAACTTCTTAGTTGAATTTCCAAAAGGATGTAAGTTTTACTGAATTGCTTTCAGCCATTGGTTAAAAACAAAATGAAGACACTAGTTTTTTCCAGTGTACCCACTTATGATGACTGAAATAGACACAATGATTTCTATGAGACTAATGTGATAACAACGATCAGTATCAATTATAAAGACAGACAAAATCAAATAAGATCAGCTATCTGGTATATAGCCAGATACAAAAGGCATTAATATTTGCCCAAATTGTCCTGAATTTCTCAATTTCCTTCCTCCTTTCCCACTTTAGCTACAGGAATTCTTTTCTTACATTTTCTCATTTAAGTCAAATTACTCAAGCATGCCTCTGAAAGACTGGCTTCATATCACCACAAGTGTTAACTTTTGAACTCAAGGACAAAGACTACTTTTTGCTGTGGGATCTGTACAGTATCAGAAGAAGCACCTTTCCATCATGCCTGGATGTGGAGGGAAAAGCTAAAGGTCACTACTTCAAATGGAAACTTACACTCTCACAACATCCACCAAAAATGTTTCAGAACACTGATCCTGAAAAGTTGAATTGGTTCAATAAAACAATAAAGAAGAGAAAACTTAAAATATGGAGTTACTTAGACTTGTTATTTTCATCACCTTTTGATATTAATTATATTATTTATAAAAGCAGATAAAAGTTTACTAAGCACAAAACAGGCCAATAGTATAAGACCACAAATACTGAACATTTAGATTTCTGAGAAATATCAGAAAACATGAAAGTAGAAAAACAAAAATCTTTTATTCATTAACACCCTAAATCAGATAAATGTTAACTAAATCATTTTATACAACAATTTTATACCAAAGTACCATCATTGTAATAATACATTATTGCTATAAAAACAGTTTCAAAATGATGCCAGTGAACATTTCATTATATATTATCTGAAAATTAAAATATCAAATTAATTTTACAAAATGGAATCTTCCCAGATACCTGGTATCAATGTGACCAAAACTTGAATTCTTATTAATTATTGGTAAATGGGATATAGGAAATTCATAAGTTATTTCATTTAAAAAAAGGAAAAATAACATGATATTTTCAGATTAAAATTCTATTTTTCTTCCTTTGTAAATGGTAATTTTAATTAATTTAATAAATGTTTAGGCATATGATTATACAAAATCCCCATGTTAATGATGCTTACTTACTGAAATAAATAGCAAAAAATTCAAATTTTCAACTTTCTTTTTTTTTAACTCAGACAGTGGCTATATTATTCCTTTCATATACAAAAACAAAACCTATTAGGAAAATTAAAATTTTCTTGATCAACAAAGTTTTTTATAAAGTCTCAAAATAATCAAGTGATTTGCACTTTACATGTATATAAACTGGCACACTAATATACTTATCAAATAGCCAGACATCAGCTAATATAAACATAGCAGGGAGAAGAGAACCAACCTATTCATTTTTCTATGTACCAAAATTGTTCAATGTACTATTCTTAAGTCAACCCCTTTATCTACACACATTAAATTAGGCATATGTGACTATGATGCTACCATCTTTTATATTTAATCCTTTGGGAAAGGTTACCCTTCAATTAAATTCTCTACAAAGCAAGTCATAAAGGCAAAGATGTAACAAAATTTAGTCTACTGCCATGTGTTCCAGGCAAACAAATTAATATGGATTCATATAACAGATATTTTGATGTTTTGGCATTTTTTCCTACAGTTTAACAAGTAGTGGCCAGGTGCCAGTGGCTCATGTTTGCAATCCTAGCTACTGAGGAGGCAGAAATCAGGAGGATTACGGTTCAAGGCTGGGCAAATAATTTTCGAGACACTATCTCAAAAAAAGCCCTCACAAAAAAGGGCTAGCAGAGTGGTAAAGCAGTAAAGCAACTGCCTAGCAAGCATGAGGCTCTGAGTTCAAACCCCAGTGCAGCCAAAAAAGAAAAAAAGTGGTATTTTCCAATAGCTTTTTTTTTTAACCAAAAACCTACCTTACTAGTAAGAATACTTGTAGTCCAATCAGCACATTCCAACATGGAAGAAAATAATTACATCTTTCTGAGAGCAACCAAACAATTTCATTGATACTTTTTTAGGATACTTCAAACAGCAAAATTTCCAACAGAATTAAAAATAAATAAATAAAGAAATAAATAAAGTTTGTTAGCTTGTGCCTGTGCCCAAAGACTACTGCCGCACTGCTTCTCTTCCATTTTTGGGTTACCACAATTCAAGTGTTTTTGAGCATGCTTTTCTTTAGTTTATCCTGTTGGGTGTTTCCCAGGCTTGTTAAAACTATAAATTTGTGTTTTTGTCTAATATTGGGAAGTTCTGGGCCATGGATAACTTACTTACTTTTCTGTGCTAATCACTTTTTCCTCTACTTCTACACTTTAATTACCTGATATTGTCCCTTGGGTTTTGGAGGCTCTATCCTCTCTTTCCACACCTTTCAACCTTTATTCACTCTGTTCTTGTGTATGGATAAGTTCTATCAATCTATCTTCAAGTTAACTGACTCTTTCCTCTGTCACTTCCATTCTGCTTTGGAGCCCATGAACTAAATTTTATAGTGTTTACTTCTCAGCTGAGAATTTCTACCTTTTCTTTGTTTCAAGTGTGTTTACCTCATGAAACATAATGATACTAGCTGCTTTCAAACACTGCTATTTTAAACCTCTGGATCATCTCAGAATTGACAACTGTTAATTGCCTTTTCCCTTGAGATTTAGTCATATTTTACTGGTTCTTCATGTATCAAGTAATTTGAGACACTATCCTAGACATTGTTGTGCAGATTCTAGGTCATTTGTACTGTAATCCTCTGGAGAGTACTGATTTTGCTTTCTGGTTTTTTTGGCAGTACTAGAATTTGAACTCAGACCCTCACACTTGCTAGGCAGGTGCTCTGCCAATTGAGCCACTCCATCGGGCCCTAGGTGTTTTTTTCTTTAAGTAGACATATAACCTAGCAGGGTACAGACTACTACTTCTGCTTCATCTTCTATAGACAACAGTTCTATCTAATGTCAGTTCAGTTCTCAGCCTTGCTTTGGGCCTGGTCCCATATATGCACCACTCAAGGTTTAGCTTGAAATTTTGGTGATAGTTTTAAATTTGGTTTCAACAAATAGGCCCACCCTGTGCATCTGAAGCTTGGCATGAGTCTAAAAATTTGTGGATTCATACACAGAATTAGAGGATCCCTGCTCTAACTCTTTTCCTCCGGGACTCCCCTGTCTGGCCCATAGGGTTCCACTTACCCAATTCTCAAGTAGAAAAGCAGAGTTTCTCTAAGATTTTAGCTGCTTGAGACACAGCTGCTCCCCAGATCCAGACTGGGGCCCACCGTCAGGGCCACACAGCAAAAGAAAAATGAGACTAGAAAACTCATCTCTATAAGGGTTACTTCACCACTTCCCTCTATAATCTGTCTATTTGGTCTATTTCAATAGACGTCCTCAGGAGTATCCTTTCTGTATTTTGACCAGTTTTTAAATGTAATTACTGAGAGAGGGAAAGAGAGAATTTAGTGGGATTACTCCACCTAGGTTAGAAGTAACCCTACACTGCATGTTAAGAATTTAATAGCACTGAAGTATACAAAGATAAAAAAATTTACAGAGTAACTTACATGTAATTGTACAGTTCCTCCAAAATACAAGTTCAGGGGCTGTGGTTATAGCTCAGGGGGAGAACCTTGTCTAGTATGTACTTACAAGGCCCTGGGTTGAATATTCCGCACAGACAGAAAGGGAGAGAAAGAACATAAAGGAAAGGGAAAAAATGACCATTTACGCCATTATACAACAAGAATAGCTCATATTTACATTTATCTTAGATGCAGCAGAAAAAAGTAGAAGCCTTATCTTCCATGACTGAATATATTAAAACCAGCTCTTTGCTAAAGATAGCAGGTGACAGCAGGAAAACACTACTAAATATTATTTTCCCCCATAGGTTTCAAATTTCTTAAAGGATAGGGTCCATGTTTCAGCCTCCTCGATGCATTTTAATAAGATCTACTTAAATGTTCTCTACATAACTGGTCAATTAATGGTACTAATTTTGTAGAAATCTGTAGCAATTTATCACTAACAGAGATAGCAAATTTCACCTTGAAAAAAGTCACTTGGGAATATATCACCATATAGCAAAAAAGAATTAAATATAGCAAGTATACATACTCCTTCTGGAAAGCCATGCACATTGGAGAACTGAATCCAAAGATCAGGCATGTCTGGGCATTTGGGCTGTAGCCATTCTGGAGTAGTATTTCTAGGCACTCTTCACGCCCTCCAAACACTGCTGAGTAAACAGGGCTCACTTTGTCTGGCCCAGTGTCACAGACCCGGTTAGTAAGTGGTATTAACAAGTCCAAGATTCTACAAATACACAAATTTAGGAGCATTTAATGTTCTCATACATACATGAGTGTATCCAACATTTCTATGGCACATACACTAAGAATCACTCAGTAGTTGATTTAAATAAGCCTTTTTGTGTTTAGTATACCTTCTAACTCCATTAATATCACATGCTACATAGTTACTCAAAATATTACACTTACTGTTGATTAATATAAAGGTCCTTAAATACACCTGAGAAAGAATTAAGTAATGATCCTGTAAGAAAATAGGCAGTTTTCCTTTTTCACTAATTATTTGCCTTACCACCATCACCTATACTCCAAAATTCAAAATTTTATGTTTCACATTTTATAACCTAATAAGTTATCTCAAAGCTTAATATATCAAATACAAAGTGGTATCAAGAAAATGAAGCATTTTTCTCTCTTAAAAATACCAATTAGCAGTTGGAGGTATGTTTCGAGTAGCAGAGCACCTGCCTGGTAAATATGAGGCTTTGAGTTCAAAGCCTAGTACCACACACACACACACACACACACACACACAACCAACTAACTCTGTTTTTCCAATTACTAAGAATTTTTAAGATGGTAAGTGACATAAAATGAAGAATAATATTTTCATCAGGATGAAGTTTAGAATTCCTGCTGAAATACTGTATTCTCTGAAAAGAATATGCGCTCACTAAAACCTGAGGCAGATTTATAAAGAAGCTAGTTGATAGGAAAGAGAAAATTGTAAACAAAAACAAAAAACAAAAACAAAAACACCCTTATATTTTAACGATTTTTTTTTTTTTGGTGATACTAGGGTTTGAACACAAGGCTTTGCTCTTGCCAGGGAAGCTCTCTACTGCTTGAGCCAACCTCCAGCCCAAAATGTAAATTTGTAAAGTTACTTCCAGCATTTAACTGGAAAAAGGACTATTTTACTATCCTAAAATGGAAACTAAAACCAGGCATGGTAGCATATCCTGTCGTCCCAGATACTCAGGAGGCAGAAGCAGGAGGATCTTGAGTTTGAAGCCAGTCCAGGCAAATTAGTGAGGCCCTGGAGTTCAAAAATAAAACACAAACAAAAGGGCTGGGGGCACTAGCTCAATTGGTAGAGTGCTTGCCTAACAAGCACAAGGCCCTGGGTTCAATCCCCAGTACCTCAAAATAAAATAATAATAATAATTTGAAAATAGAACTGTAAGGATTAAGCAAGCCCCCCTTTCTGGGAAGAGGTAGATAGGGTTACTCCAAAGTATCTTTATAACACTAAACTTCTCTGTGCTACTCTTCCTTATGAAAACTGAACACGACTGAGGACAAATTCCTAAGACAGTTTTGGAATCAATTTAAAGCTCAGTGTATAATTGCATCTAAGAGTTATGTTTAAATAAATGATTAAGTACTAGGAAAACTAGCAAATTTTAAAACCTAAATAATATAAGAGTCTCAGCTGGGTGTCAGTGGCTCACGCCTGTAATCCTAGCTACTCAGGAGGCAGAGAATCAGGAAGATCACAGTTCGAAGCCAGTCTGGGCAAATAGTTCTCAAGACCAACTGAAAATACCCAATATAAAAAAAGGCTGGCAGAGTGGCTTCAAGTGGTTGAGTGCCTGTCTAGCAAGAATGAGGCCCTAAGTTTGAACCCAGTTCTGCAAAAAATAGTCTGTTTAACACCCCTTAACTTTAATGTGTCTAATTTTTTAAGATGAGTTACAAAAATCATACTCAAGGCACAGACATGCATATTACAAATATCTTTAAGACATATGAAATACCATGCCACCTAGTGGCATAATAACCCAATTATAGATTCCATTTTCCTACTATGTAAACATACTAAATAATGACCACTCAGGGGCTGGTAGCTCACATCTATAATTTCTAGCTACTATTGAGACAGAGATCAAGAAGACTGCAGTTTGGGAAAAATAGCTAACAAGACCCTATCTCAAAAAAAACCCATCACAAAAAAAAAAATGGCTGGCAAACTGATTCAAGCAGTAGAGTCATACTAGCAAAGTGTGGACCTAAGTTCAAACCCAGTACACCACAAACAAAAATGACCATTGGTATTATTATATCTTTAAAATAATACTATACTAGTGTA